TTTAAGCCCCAAAACCAAGTTATGGCCGAATAGTTCCTTTGCATTCTTGGACTGTTTCCTTGATGGATCTTGGGTTGCCCACACATATTTCTTGGTTGAAACTCCTTTGGATCGAGCGGTTTGGAGCTTGGGAAATCCTTTATGCCAGATTCTTGGATCCTGACTAAAGGTCCTTGAATCTTGGTTTCTCGAACTTGAGCCTACTTTCTTGATGTTTCTTGGATTGATCTTGGTGTTGGATTGGAAGAATGTATCTTAGATCAAAAATCCAATCCTTGATGGGCTTAGAGTTGTGGAAATCCAAATGGAAATAGGAGTCCAAATTCCCGTAGGATCAGGAATCCCTGCGGACACAGGAGCTCTTTCCTGTGTGCTTCTCACGGGTGCAGTTAACTCCTTGCCCCTCCGGGATTTGCTGTTTTCCCGTATCTAGGATCAAATCACAGAGCCTCCCTGCCTTCCATTTTCTCCCCCTCCTCTGTCCTGATCGTTGGAACCCTAATCTTCATCATTGCATCACCTTCTTCCCTACCACAAATAGTCTGCTCTTCCTCCCCTTTCACCATTGGTAATATTTATTCAATCCCGGATGAAAACTAGCCAACTTCTTTGCCCCCGCGCATTGAATCCCTTTCTTCTTTTGCAACATCACTCTTCTCTCCCTGATCTGCAGAATCCATCGACCGGGTCGGATTCAACCTCACAGATCTCCAAACCCATTTAATCAGTGGGCACTTTTTTCTGTTTTCGCCAAGCCCAGTACTTGCGACCCACTTGCCCTTCTATTCCTAGTAGTAACATCTCAGTCTACCTGGCTCATTAGCATCCGACTTCCCGGGCCAAGCTTACTAGCCTGTTATTTGCTTTCTGCCCGAAATGACTCCTCCAGCTTGCGTTTTGAAGCCTGCCAAACTAATCTAGATCTCCATCTTGAAAATGCACCCGACTCGCTCCTTCCTCTATGCTTATGAGCATATCAGCAAAAGTTCTCTCCCCTATCACTTCCATGATGACCCTCATATTAACATTACAATGTGGAAATTAAACCACCACAGAAGGGCACCTTGTTACTTCCACCACTGCCACGACTACCCCCGCACTTTTTTTTCCCTCTCTGCTGTCTGGATTGACTGGCCTATTCACCAGCTCAAAGACCACTTCCATTACATGCCACCAACCCCCAACTTCCTCCCCTTCTAGAATGAATATTCTTCTTACTGCCCTTCCTTTCTCCTCTGTCAACACAAGGTATCTCCCAGTACGATTCCATCTAAGGGCCAACCACAGTCGGTGGTTTTTTCTGGCCATGTACCTTCCCCATGTTCTTCCTCCTTTTCTCCAATAAAAATCTTCCAAAGCATATATAAGTCAAGCCACATCCTCATCCTCAAAAGAAATGGACACTTGAAACCCTCTTCCATTCTCACAAATTCTCAGACCCTCCATCTTCCTCCTTTCACATATCACATCTAAAGATCTATTCTCAATCACCAAAAACCTCTTCTTCTGCTCCGCCATTCCTCCTCTCCCTCTGGCCGGCTTGGCCGACCGACCAAACAGGACATTGTGCCCCCTTCTGGCTCTTCCTTCCTTCCCCACGACCCCTACTCCTCTTCCCTCAGACAACCCTAAAGTCTTCAGTTGTCACTCTCTAGCTTTCTCTCTCTAGCAATCTCTCTCTAAATTTCTCCCCGCGACCCCTACTTGAATCTTCAACAACAAGTAATGCAATATAGAAAATGTATAGAATTAATCCTCTAAAGACAAAAAATTGGCAGCTCATGCTCCAGAGAGATGATGAATATTAAACTGAAACCCCATTTTTGGGTATTACTTTCTAAATTGATGAAATTCGTTTCAAGTGGCAAAACTCATTTATCTCTTAAGCCTAGGGTGCAAGAATGAGAGCAAGGAAGTCATAATTTCTGAGTCCAAGCTAAAAGAAACAAGAGGTCATAGCCACAGATTATGAATTGTCTGCATGGCCTTGCTCATGAACCTGAACCACAAGACCCAGAGAAAACCTCAATGAACCAAACTTCATGAAATAAAAAATCTCAGTTATTCCGAGGTTTTGCATTTTAAAGATCATGCTGTCTGTTAATAGATCACAAAATCTAAACTATATTTTCAGAAACATGTTGGAAAGGAAATTCTCCATAAATAATTAAAACTGCAATGGTATCCTTGAAGTCTACCTAGGGCATATCCACGTGTCCTCTGATGTACCTTCAGCATCAAAGCCCACACAAAAAGCATGATACCTGTCCACACGGGCAGTAAGAAAAATACATTAGACAGCCTTTTTCTGATAAATTTATATGCTTCAATGTACAACTACATGCAAAGCCAGATCAGAAGGAAAAACTTACTACTAATCGTGAAATAAAATGT